GTCATATATGTCTTTCAAAAGAAATTTGGCGTAATTTATTTCTTGAATCAATACAACGAAAAGAACTTTTAAATTCAAATTTATCTTCTTTGTATACTGATCTTCTTTCTGATAAACCTCCGTTTTCATTTGATACAATAAGTATTTATACAAGACATGAATTTGGTATATTATATGATTCAAATATGAGAAAAGGTGATGCAGCATGGTATATGGATCAAATTTATTCTTCAATATTATTAAATGATTATTGTGAAAAATATCCAAATATTACAATTGATAAAATTCCTAGAAAATCATCCCGTCTTGATCCACATTTGCCATCACAATATTGGGAATCGGAAAAATTAAAACAATTTGGTGATGCACATATTATACATGATGAGATATTTGATTCATATCGTTGGACAATATTTAAAAATTTATTAGTTTTTTTGTTTAATTCATCACTAACAAATGATTTTGATTTTTATTATAAACAATTTGTTCTTACTTTACGAGATAAACCAGAAGATCATTAATTCAAAAATTTGTTTAAATGAAATAAATCGAGTTTATCGAGTAGATCTCGAACGATTTCTTTAATGTCCTTAGTGATTCTACAGAACACTCTGAAGATCTTCAGAAGATTCTAAGCGCAAGTTCATAGGAGCATGTTGAGTACCAGTATACCGTCCTCCGAAGAGCCGCGATCAATGCTCGTCTCTGTTCTCCCACATCGAAAAAAATTAGAATCAGGTAAATCAATGCTGGAATATTTGAACTATAGATTCGTTTCACTTTTGATTGCTATACTCTTGACTTCAAACTATATCTATAATTCAATTAAACTTTTTTTGTTACTTTCATTCCTTTAATTAATATTTATTTTAGATTTAATGTCTACATTTTAAAATACTTTTTTTGAATTTTGATCATATATATCCAGATAATTGAATAGGATCCGTACCCACTTGATAAAATGAGAAAGATTCTCCTATTAAGTAGACAGCTTGATTAGTTCCATTCATTGATTTTTCAATTGGTGAATGTCGACAAACGACACGATCTCAATTCGATTAGTCAATAAAGTTCTTTTCTTCTTTCTCTAATGATGATTACATATCCAGTAAAAGAATTATAATTAAATCGAGGCGTTTTTTTTTTTCTTAATTTCCTAAATACTCGATGCAAGCTCGCTATGATATTCAGGTCAAAAAGTTCTACTTTGAATGTGTAAGATTTAGGTTAGAAAAATACTTTGAAAATAAATATTACATCTTCATTAAGTTAGATCATTCTTATTAAAAATAGTGACTAAAAGGCTTTGATCCCAAAACGAGATATATGTAAAGTGAACCGCAAAAGTTTAAGACACTTTTATTTTTGAAGCTTTTTCATCGTAGATAAGTAGTTAGGTCAAATCCAAATAGTAATTTGGATAGCTCTTGAAATTCCCTATCGAATAGAATATGTGTCAAATTTTCACAAGAAACTTTGTGAAGAGAGTTTTCCAGAAAACTGTGCCAGGAGGATTTTGACAAGAAGATTTTTCAATATAAGCATCTCAAAGAGCAGAAAATTCTCAACAGAATGAAGAGTGGCTCAGCTCTGTAAGATATTCCATCACAAAGTTATAAGCATTAGGAAAAATGCGTTTTTCGTTGACTTTTATGAAAAATAGACCTAAAATTTGATTAAAACTGCATTTTTTCATTTTCTCTAATGCTTAGAACTTCGTGACGGAATACCGTAGAGAGCTGGATGACCCTTCATTTTCTTCAAAATTTTCTGCTCTTTCAGATGATTATATTGAAAAATCTTTTTGTCAAAATCCTCCGGACACAGTTTTCTGTAAAACTCTCTTCACAAAGTTTCTTTTGAAAATTTGACACATATTCTATTCGATAGGAAATTTCAAGAGCTATCCAAATCACTATTTGGATTTGACCTAACTCATCATTTTCAATGAAAAAATTCAAAAATAAGTGTCTTAAACTTTTGCGATCCACTTTAGGTTTGTACAGTTAGGCTTCCTTTACCTAATGGTGTATGTACACTATCAAGTACTGTTCATTTACCAATAGGGGCGTCAGTTTCGCCACAATTACAGTTGAATGTATTGAAGATGGCGTCCTCTACTGATATCTCAACGGTACTGTGTGTATAAAGACGTTCTAATGCATGGTTTCTTTTCCTTTATTCTCTTTTCTTTTATGTGTCATGCATACCCATGAAAGAAAAATTGCAATTACCGATAAAAAGGACAAAACCTACAATAAAGAGGAGCATTCAAGCAAGATTTATATGATAAAACGCATATTGTCTTATGTCAAGGATTCGTAATGTAAGATAATAATAAAATATTGTTAAGTAATATTGATCGTTCATGGTAAGTTATTTATTTATGATTTTAATTATTGAAATTAATATATGTTTAACAAAATAAAGCTAATTTAAAAAACAAACTATGACAATTCTATAGAATTTCGTTTCTATGATTAGAAAAAAAAGGTCGAAACATTTTTGCTTAAGGTCCTTGAAAAATATTTTTTTTTTGTTTTTAGAAGAAGAACAACAAATCTCTTTCGTTTTTTTCTGAAATAAAGGTTCAAAGAGAATTTTGAATTGTCAAATGAACTATTTTTAATCCTTATTTGTTGAATATCTCCCAAAACCAGGGTTAAAATTTTAAGCATAGCATCTTCACTATAGTTTCAACATATTCTGAAAATTCTATGTGATTTGCTTCATCTGCTTCAAGAACGATTTTTGAGATGAGAAAGCTTTAAATAAGTATAATTTCTAATTTATAAAGCATGTCATTGAGTTGCCTAGTTTTACTTCTCTTTACTAATTCTGCTACCTCAAAAGTTAATGCATCATAGAAATCATTATAGGACAGGATGTAAGAAAAAGTTACCTTGTAAGTGTATCTTCCAGATGTCATGATGTCGATTCTTGGTATTAATTTACAATAGTAACTAAAGCAATATTTTCTTTTGTTTATTTAATTACCTTAAACAAATACTATGCGTAAGACATAATCTGTTATCTTAAGGTGATCTGTTAAAATCAAAAGTTTTTCATCGGTAATATAACTTCAAAGCGTCCTTTGTTAAATAAGAGCTCTTCATTGTTATCTAGTACTTTTATTAAATTCAACTCTCAAAATCCCTAGCAAAAAAAACTCGTACTGCAATTATTTTTTTTACATGCACATTTCTCCTAATGATAATTTCTCGAAGGTACTGAGGGTATGGGCTATAGACCTCTAATATTATTGAATATGATCAGTTTTCAATCAAAAACAGTCAAGAAAATTTGTTTTCCATTTTTTTCTAAATCAACTTTTACACAAAAAAAAATGCAGAACCACCTGCATTTCTTCGATATAGTAATTCGATCGAGCTGAAATCATTTTTTTGCAGATACTGGATATTGTTTATGATGTTTAGTTTTTTTTCTTCTTTTGAAAAATATTACACCGTTGATTTTTAGGGATACATTCAATATTGTGATCATTTTATTCGAATGGAAGAAGATAAAAAGCAATTAAAATAATTAGGCACTCTTAACGGTGTCTTGTATTTGTTTCGAAAAAATTTCACTCTATTGGGCTTAAAGTCTATGACAATTTTTACTCTACTTATCCAGATATATCTATTCTACAAGTTTCAAATATTTCTCATGAGTTATTCTTCAGAAAACTTCGGCAATAGAAGAGAGACTTAAATTCAGAATGATAAAATTTACATTCCAGTATTAATTTTTGATAGATGTTAATAGACATTTCTTTTTCTTTATAGGCCTTGAAAATCTTTTTAAAATTAATTGGCCTAATGGTATGTATTTTTGGTATCCTAGCATATCATACAATATCAAAAGTTAGAATTTCATTGGAAGATGTCAAATTAATATCCCTACCTATTGTTACTTCTTCTTCTTCTCGGACAATTAATACAAAAACTATTCGTAAATTTGTTGTATTTGCATCATCTATTCATTCTGAACTTCGATCATATATATTCTATACACCAATAACAGCAGCTGCATGGCAACGAATAGGTTATCAACCAATTGTTATTTTTGTTGGTGATTTTATTCATAATAGTGAAGCATCATTATCATCACAACTTAATTTAACTCGAAATTTATTAAAACGATTAGGTGTACATATAATAGATTTTCAATGTAATCAATCATATTCTACAAAAATATCTCAATTAGTACGTAT